CAGTGGTGGCCAAAAAAACACCTGACAGATCTGAAAATATTGACCTTTTTTGCCTCCAAAACATGATTTCATTTCATAATGTTCATGAAACATGCAGATGGTTGCTCTGAGCACAACAAATATCAGATGAAGTGAGTCTGTTTTTATCCACTTTTAACTTTAATATTTGGTATGTCCACCTTTTGCAGCAATTACAGCAGCCCATCTCTCTGGCATAGTGTCAGTATATTTCCTGAGAACTTCAACACTAATGTTATCCCATGCCTTCTGCAACTCAAGCCAAAGGCTTTCCTCTGAATCTACAATGGATCTGTCCAGTTGATTTTTCAACTCGCCCCAAATGTGCACAATGGGGTTGAGATCCGGACTTTGAAGGGGGCCAGCCCATCATTTGCTCCGGGTGTGCGTTCATGGTGTGTGTGTGTTCACTGCTGTGTGTGTGCACTTAGGATGGGATAAATGCAGAGCACTAATTCCGAGTATGGGTCACCATACTTGGCCACATGTCACGTCACTTTCATTTTTAATATTCCAGCAGATTCCTTCCATCGCAGCTAGTTCTGGCAGTAGTTTGTTTTATGGGTATTATAATGCCCAATTCAACAAAAACAACTGAAATATGCCAAGTGTTCAAAAAATTTTGGCCACCACTATAGGATTTATTTATTTATTTAGGAGTCATTTTTAAAATGTTTGATTATATTGTTATTTTAGACACTAATGTTACATTTCTAAAAAAAAAAATATGTAAGTGATTACATATAAAAAATGTCATTGTAATTAATATTTATTTTTTGCATTTAATTTTTTCTTATTTATCTATTTTATTAGAGGTCAATTAATATGGGTTTTGAGAAATATGGAAAATGTTTATACATTCATTCATTGACTAAGCTTTTAGTAGATTCGAAACTGACACAAAAAAAATGTGACTTCTGTTCATTTTCCCATTGGACACATTATTAATGCTCATTTGAGTTTGTACCGTTTTCATGATATTTGATGGTCCAGTCCAGATCATCTTCATTATCCTGCACCCACTCACACGCACCGCGATCAAAGTCACAGTCCGTCAGGAATCCTGCTCAAATAAACACATACAGCACTTTCTCAAATCATCTGAATGCTGGAAAGACAAAAGCGTTTTGGATGCAATCTGAAAGAGTTTGCTTACTTTCCTTCAGCGGCGCTGCCTGGATCTCCTTCGGCTCTGATTCTGGACCGTAAACAGGCACAAAATCATCTGGAACTACAAACGGAAAAACACACAGATCATAAAGAGCATTTCCAACATTTGTCTTCAGTCTCTGTCAAACCAGAAGAACAGAAAGCAGCACGTAATGATCCAGACACTGTTCCTGCAGCGCTCAACAGAAAACTGAGCTGAATCTGATGTGCTTCTACTGAAGGAATATCAGTGCTGGCAATACAGCAGGAGAATAGCCTAACTTTATTTAGAATAATGTTTTTATGACTCTCTTGAATGAATAATGCACAATAAGTAAAGCAAATGAGCTTAATTATGATTTCATGCTTACATTAAATTATTTGAAGATGAGTTAATGGCAAAAGTTTTCTAATTACGGTTATACGTTTAGAACAAACCTTTTTGAAGTGCATTAATACGGTACTGGACTCTAAGAAAAGTCCATAAAAACAGGACTTAATATGAAGGAATTGTGCATAGTTTAGGGTTGAAGAACATCTCTGTAAACTTAAATTAATAGGTACTATTTTCACTGTCTGTTTTCCTATGGATTTTTTAAAAATATATTGTGTCATTAAAAAAAAGTAAAAAGTTGCAAAGTAATATTGCACAATTAATATATTTGTGTGTATACGATATAAGATTATTTGATTTGTTTCATATTGTACTATTAATTATTTTAATCGCGTTAATATTTTATGTATACAATAATTCTAACATTTATTTATTTTGCACTAATAATTAATTTTATTATTTTTATTATTAAATATGTATTATTATTTTATTTAAATTAGAAGTAATTTTTACGTACACTACTACATACAAAGGTATTAATATTTATGATTATTTTATTCATTTCTGAGTATACTGTTATTTCAGTCAGCCACTGTAATATTTTAATATTTAATTTTTTATATTTAAAAAATAATATTGATGTAATTAATATTTATTTTGCACTACCAATATATTACTTAAATTAGAGGTCTGTTTTTCTATGGATTTTGCTTTTACTGTGTTGGCTGACAAACTCTTTAAAATACAGTATTTCAGCTTCTCTTGGTAAATCAGGGAAAGCCCTCACTAGAAAGTGAATATCTGAAGAAGAGAAGGATCTTGTCTGTGCTTTCAGACTCTCGTGTGTTGTTAGGAGAGCATGAGAGAGAGTGCGGCTGATGAAAGACAGTCTAACAGCTGTTCTGACGCAGATAATAAAAGGCTTGAGCCCTTTCCGGCTGTTTCTCCCTCTAGGAAAAGAGTGCTGGAAGATGTTTCTTAAGGCAGATAGGAATTTTCTCCCCAGTGTCTTGGGCTTGTCTCCTCTTGTCGGATCTCTAACATGAGTCTTGTCGAGAGATTTAGAGTTAAATGTCCTTTCATTGTGTTAAACACAGTTATTTTTCCTGCAGAAATAAATGCAATTATGAGATCTGATGATGAGATTTGAGGTCTTTCATCTAATATTTATATTTTATTTAATTCAGATTTGATAGTTTTAGTTTTAGTTTACAATAACAAAATTACATTGTACATTTTTTGGGTTAGTAGTTTTTTGGAAAAACATCTTTAGTTTTTTTTTTTTTTTTAGTTTTAGCCATTTTAGTACTTCAACTTCATTTCGGTTATTTTCAGTTAGTTTTTCACTTAACATTTAGATTTTTTTTAATATATATATATATATATATATATATTATTATTTCAGA